TAAGGTGGTTGTTGTGACTCGAGGGTGCAAGAATGTTTCTCTTCTAGCCCCAAATATTGATGGTGAGCAGGATCTAACTCCAGTTTCCAAAACTTCCTTATCTCTCATGGCATGCAAGTTACCCCATGCTTCGATATTTGCAGCACCACCCACATCCTTGGTCATAACTTTGAATCCAACAATTGGATATTCATCCAACTTTCAGTGTGGGGTCTCCTAGGTTGCCTTCCACTCTTTCTCATGTCCCACAAAAGGTTCTTTCTTAGATTGTTGACACTCCAGTCCAGATCACACTTGGTGAGCTTTTGAAATGTGTACCCGGTTTTACTCTTTAGCTGGAGGCTTTTGCCAAGTCCACAGGCATCCCTATGGAACCTCAGCATGACATGCACATCATCAACACTCAAACCACTCATGATCTTGAAGCATTCTTTGTGGAGGTTTAAATTGGCGATAGATCTTTGACAGCAAAAGCATTACTTGATTCTAGATCCTAGAGCAACATCATCTCCCTCAACTTGGCACTTTCCAGTGGCTTAGAAGTGGTGAGAAATACAACTTTCATCCTCAAAATGTTTGCCAATCACTCAGTGGTCCCTACAAACCTCTGTCGTAATGTCAAGATTTTGGTGCAAGGAGTGGTTTCCATGCTAGATTTCCTTGTTGTGGACTTCCAACAGCTAGGATCTAGGAAGCTGAAGGACTCCATCATCTTAGGACGGCCGTGGCACCTCACTGCCACTTGCACAACAACTTGGGCCAAGGGAGGATCAATGATTAGCGATGGCATCCATGCAGCAATTCTTCTCAATGCCCATGGTCATTCTCTACTTCCATCCCTTCAACTCATTAGGAGTCACTAGGGACCCCTAATGAGGATCTACTAACCACTTTCTTCTAGACAAATAGCCACGTCCAGTTGCCTCCAGCAAATGCCTTGGAGTGGTATCTGCTGCAGCCATGGATTTTTTGACTTGCTTCCATAGTGTGGAGCTTACATCTTGAGCCTATATCCACCCCCAAGTTGTAATAACTCTACCTTTATAGAAAATTCCTCAAGATGCATATACTTTACCATACAACCTTAGAAGCTTGCCGGCCAATGTGCTCACACCTTCTCAAAATGCAACTTTTGATCCTGGAATTCTTCACTATCTTCCTCAGAGTCCTCTACATGATCTCAGCATTAAGACAAAGCCTTTTCAAGTGGTACATAGTAGTTTTGGAGCTGTCAACAAAATAAGGTCACATGGCATCAACAACACTTTGGAGAGCACAACTTCTTCACTCTCTTTGAATACACTTTTGACTTTCTAGCTTAGTGACTACACTCTTGGTGGCACTTTTTACCCTAAAGCTGCAATCAAGCCTTGTTGCTCACTTGGGATATGACCATGACATAAAGGTGGTGGGCATTTTCCAGTAGCATCTCGACTTTTCCTTTGAGTTTCTCCCAACTAGGCACCTCGTCTCAACTCTTCCCAAACTTAGGTTCATGGCTGGATCCTAACTTCATCCTACTACAACACTCGAAGCATTTTCCAACACTGTCGACACTTCACCTGGCTACCAGATCTTTATCAGCAACACATGATGACTTCCACAAGTCTTTGGGGACACTTTCTACCATCCTCAGAAGGCTCCCATCCTTCCAAGCAGTTCTAGCATCCTAGATTCTCTTACAGTAACATTATTCACCACCTCGGTATGGTCAATGCAATGCAGCACTTGAGGGTGACTCAGCTAGTTTCAATGGCATTCCAAGCCTTCTATAGGATGCCTTGCATCCTCCTGGAGTGCTTCCATCATCATCATCCATCACAGAAGCTATTTGCACTACTCTCTCTTTTGGTAGTGAGATCTTTCCATCTTCACTCATTTTTTAACTTTTTTTGCTTTTTCTTTTTTATCTTTTTGCTCTCACTCTTCTTACATCTTTCTTCAATCTAGGGAATCACATGGAAAAAGTCTCTTTCCATGATGAACACGGTCTAGATACATTACTGATTATATGAAGATTTCTCTACTCTTGCTAGTTTGTGCTTCATTTCTTTCCCTACATCAGTTCCATCCTCACATTTTTATCACCATTCTATATCATCCATACTCTAGAATTCCCTACCACACACTCACACCATCATTGCCCAACTCTCACTACACATACCCAATAATATTTTTCATATTTTCCACCATTCATCATCCATTCATACTAGACATTTGGGGACAACAATTCATCATAGAGGATCTTCCAGACAAGAAGCAACATAAATCAAGATATTCTCATGCACAACATGTGAGATATTCAATGGACAAGTCACATACCATGACTTTCTTCTTTTTGGAGCTGATTTCTTCTTCTAGTAGGAGAGCCCAATTGTAGAGGGCATCCAGCTGCTTTCAGAGGTGTGGCCAACAAAAACAATACCCTTTTCTTCCAGCTCAAATCACAAGTGAAGCAGTTTGCCACTTTTTGAGTGGCAATCCAAACAATTTTTGGTGTGAGCAATAGTTATGACTTCACAATTCACTATATCAGATTAGAGCCCATCTTTGGACACACTCAATCATATAATCTATCTACCAAAATCCCCTATCATCACTCTCTTCCATTATAGTTCATCTCCTATTTCACAATTAAGCAATACAGCCTCTATGCTTTCTTCTTAATTCTTAGCCAAAGTTTTGAGCACAAATTACATGAGCTTGAAGTTGTATTAGCATATTCACTTTCCAGAGTGTGGGAACTAGGTTTGAGCTTGTTTCCATTTGGTTTTCTTGCTCTTTTCTCCTTATTTTTTCCTCTTCTCCTACTTTTTTGAGTATCTAATTCAACTATATAATTTCCCATTGGATTTCCCTGTGTCTCTTCACTTTAAACTCTTTTCCCATCTTGTACTTTCATCTTTATTCAATTTTTTATTTTCATCTCTTGTTTTCTTTTTCATTTCTCTTTGTTTCAACAATTACCCTCTCTAGACACTATATTCTAGCATATAGGAGCATCTCAGCCGTGGGTTCTTGCACATTGGAGTCTTATGCACCCACCAATGGTTGCCTGTTGTGGCACTAGCTCATTGCCACTTTCTCCTCGTATCACATGTTATAGCTAAAGAAACAATTCTTACTCCCACTCTTACTCCTACTCTTACTCTTATTCCTACTCCTACTACTACTTCTACTCCCACTCCTACTACTCCTACTCCTCAATTGTAGCTATAGGTGTCTTAAGAGAGAGGGAGATGATATTTTGATTCTGAAAATATTCCAAATGATTGTATAAAAACCACGTGAGGGTGAAATATCAAGGGTTTTCCCCATTTTCTCTCAATTGAGTTTGGATCTATAGCTTTATGAGTTTGTGTATGAGGGATAAATCCATAGTTGGGGCTAAAAGATGCCCCAACAGATACTCTTCTCACCTTCTACTTTTGGGTGCCCTAGCCATTTGGCTAGAGTGAAGTTTTAATGAACCATACTAAGTATCCAAGTAGGTAGTGTCAACCACATTTAAATTAGGAGTATGATCTCTCGGAGGAGCTAGAGTTTGGCTCTTGAACACTTCACCAAGTTACCCCACTTATCTATCTATATTCACTTTCACCTTGGACTCCTTAATGGTTATATTATCATCCATCACATGGGGTATAACCTTCATTAGCCACACTAGCTTTACTAGCCAAATTGGTTCCATTAAAGTCTTCCCTCTATTATCCTTTTGGAACTCATTAAACTCCTTAGGGTTTGGGAGACTCTTAGATTCGGACTTAAACTCAAATTAGGTCTCGAACTTGGTCTTGGACTCAATCTAGGTCTTGGCCTCAGTCTTGGTCTCAATCCTGATCCTCGTCTCGGGCTCCATCTTGGGCTCCATCTTGAACTCCATCTCAAACTCCTTCTTTGACTCCATTTCAGACTCCATCTTGGGCCCATCTTATACTCTATTTCAAACTCTATCTTAGGTCCATCTTTAACTCTTTCTCAGACTCCATCTCATGTCTATCTTGGACTTCAATTGGATCGGACCTGGTGGTAATTTTCTAAGAGTTCTCATATTGCAAAGAATGGAGTATAGAGCAAACAGTGTACAGCAAAGAAAAAGCAACATGGTGGAAAAAATCAGGGTCTAAGGCAAAGTCAAGGAAATTATCACTAGAGTGATGGTTTACAAAAAGTAATGATGCAGAGATTCAACTTGAAGAACTTGAGCGAAGCAAGGAAAGTCTATAAAGGAACAGGCAGGACTTGACTCTTGGAAAGTGATGCTCGAGATTTATGGGACTTCCACGTTTGAGATTTGATCAGATCAGTGACTTTCTTTTGGCCAAGGAATGGGGATATTAATGAGTGTTCCAGTGTATAGGATGGGATCTAGGCTTACATGAAAAACTTGCTTTTGGAAAGAGCGATGGAAATGTTTAGAGAGATGCCATCACCAGATACTGTCTGAACGCAATGATCTCGGGTCCTTTGATCGCATGCCTTTCCCCCACTGTGGCAAAGGTGGCAATCACGGTTGGTAAGAGGTTCCACCTCTCAGTCTCCAGTGTTGGCTCTATGCTTGCAGATCCAAGACGTGAGCAAACACAGCTACACAAAAAACAAGAAGAACAGCGAGCAAACGTACCTCGAGGCTTCACTTTCCCGGATGGAACTAACTTTTTTTTCTCCAACGTGAACACATGGAACCCAAAGTACGCACGGACAAGTCATGCTTAGACACCACGTAAAACATCGTGAAAAGAAAAACACTCCAAGGAGATTTTTACTTAGATTGTTGTGTGGGAGAACAGCATGCTATGTGGTGTGATAAGAGGTCATATCGATTTTGTCACTTTCACCACCTTAGCATGACATCACACAACACAAATTCAACCCAACGACAATGAGCCCATGGGACTCGAACCTGGGACCTCCTAATCGCATCTCGGGAAGATTCCATTATTCTCTCTCTCTCTCTCTCTCTCTCTCATTCTCTCCTTGGCTCTCTCGAGCACATCGTCACTGGCGGAGGCGGCGCTACAAACATTGATCGGTTCTTCAAAGTCCAGGCTCTGCCGCTAGGCGTTGGCAGAGTTCTTCACGTCTCGCCCATCGATCCGGCGCCGATTTATGCCGCGCTCGATCGATCCAGGTTACTGAAAGTGAAGTGCTGCATTTCTCAGGGATCCTCCTCGATAGCGCTCCTCCATCGTTCCTTCTCCTCGAAATATCGCTCCACATCGATCTCTCCTCCTCCCGCATCGATCTTTCTTCGCGAAATATTTCTCTTTTCTCGAAATATTTCTCTCTACTTGTCGATCGATTCCACTCTCCAGCAATTCTCACCATGACGGAGCTCGAGAAATCCATGGCGGACGGGGAACACCGCACATCGGACACCCTGCTCGTGAGAATCGCCGAGCGGCCCCTTCCTGTCGCGCTATCTTCTTCCTCACTGCTGTCAGAGCATCGGATGACGTGGCAGCTTTGAGGGGTTCCCGTGGATCAAAATGTCCGATCACAATGGACAGCTTTGACCCCTTCCAATGTCAAACAGCCCACTACCATGTGAACTCGTTCGCCCTTTAATAAAAAGGTATCGCTTTCTAACGCGGTGATAGTCGAGATTTGGAATCTCTCATCCAACATGGATTCGTTGCCGGGCATGTCTCCCGCGGCACTCTCGCTCGATCGCATCAAGCTCCAGCACCGGAGCCGATGCCCACTTCTGCCCAATCGCTTCAAGATCACCGCCAATGCCAGGAAAGAAGCCAATGCCGCAAAGTCCTCTAATCCCTCTTTCCCCTCCAAGAAAGGTAGCTCCACCCCGGCCTCGATCATCGATCGCCGCGAGCTCCTGGCGGGAACAATCGCCGGCGGAGCTTCGCTCGCAGCGTCCCCTAGTGGTCCCGCGCTCGCCGAGCCCGTGGGATCGCCCACCTTCAAGCGCTGCCAGCCCGCCAACATCGCCAACACCAACACCTTCGTGATGTGCTGCCCGCCCAAGCCCAAGCGCGACACCATCGCCTTCAAGCCCGACACCGGCCCCATGCGCACCCGCCGCCCCGCCCATCTCGTGGACGAGGACTACATCCACAAGTACAACACGGCCTACGCCAAGATGCGCGCGCTTCCCTCGGATGATCCCCGGAGCTTCCGGCAGCAGGCAAACGTCCACTGCGTCTACTGCAACTACGGCTACCACCAGGAGGGCGATCCAAAGTCAACGCTCCAGATCCACTTCAACTGGCTCTTCCTGCCGTGGCACCGCTGGTACCTCTACTACCACGAGAAGATCTTGGGCAGTTTGATCAACGATCCAACCTTTGCGCTGCCGTTTTGGAACTGGGACAACCAGGACGGGGGGAGCTACATCCCCGAGATGTTTCGGCGCGAGGGCACCCCCATCTTCGACGCCAATCGCAACGAGGCAAACTACGCGCCCGCGCGAGTGGATCTCGGCTACGCGTCCGAAGTCGACCCCAAGTCCAAGCCCAACAAGCCCGACGATCAGATCCGCCAGGACAACATCTCCATCATGTACAACAACGTCGCTAAGGTCAACAACCAGGAAGCGTTCTTCGGTGCTCCCGTAAGGTACGTGTGCATGGCCAGAAAAAGGTGACGGAGCCATGTCTTATGCAGGAAAGGAAACAATAACGGTGGGGATGGATCACTGGAGAAAACCCCACACACGGCCGTGCACATCTTTGGTGGCAGCCCCAAAAACCCCAATGGCGAGGACCTGGGCAACTTCTACTCGGCCGGGAAGGATCCACTCTTCTACTCCCACCATGCTAACGTGGACAGGATGTGGGACGTGTGGAGGTCCCTGGGAAACCATGACTTCAGGGACGCCGACTACCTCAACACCGAGTTCCTCTTCTTCGATGAGAACCAGGACCTCGTTCGCGTCAAGGTGAAAGATGCCATCGACAACAAGACGAAGCTCAAGTACGAGTACGCGTCCATGCCCCAGGACAAGGTCTGGATCGACTACAGGCCACTGCCGCTCGCAAAGACGGCCTTCGCGCAGCCCGTTGCTTCGTTGGTTCCTGGAGCTACTGCTATGGCGGCCGAGTATCCACTCGTGAGATCCTCGTCCCAGAACGCCGAGCCTGTCAAGGTTGGAGCGGGCCCGCTGACGGTCACGGTGGCGCAGCCCAAAGGCAGCGCTTCGGACGAGCTCCTGGTCCTGGAAGAGATGGTGATTGGGATGCAGAATAACACTAACTTCAACGTGTTCATCAATCTCCCTGAGGCCAACGAGAGCACCACGCTCTCCTGCGCTGAGTACGTCGGCTCTTTCTACAACATCCCCCACTTCATGCCCGGGATGACCGAGTCAAGCACTCGGACCACCAACGCCAGCTTCTCCATCAAGCCCAACGTCGAGATCTTGGGCTTGAAGGACGCGGACAAGCTCGTTGTCACTCTGGTGCCGCGCGGGAAGGACAAGGAGAAAGTCTTCACGTTCAAGGGTGCCAGAATACAGTACGCTTGACTTTTGATGGAGCTGTAACTTTCGTTCTGTTTAATTTGGTTTCTTGTGATTGGAAAAAGAACAGCAGAAAACCAGCTGGCATGGTAAAAGGAAATCGAAATGGTGTTACTTGATGTTGCAATTTCCAATGTGAAGATGAAGCTTACGTAGATCCACTATCTAGACCAAAAATGCCACAATGAGAAGTATTCTATCAAACATACGCTGCTGCGAATGAAGACTCCTTGAGGCTACTGCTCTACGTGGATCTACTTGATCTACAACCTGCAAGGAAAGAACATATGCCACTGTTATCTTTCTTCCTGAATCTCACTTGAGAAGAAATCTTCATAGGCCGGGCACTGAAGAGATACGAAAGCCCAGAGGTTGAGTCGAGATAATTGATACCTGAAAGATTGTAAAAACCAGGAACTGATCAGGAAATCTTTTTCTCTCTTCCTGTAAGTTCCAAGCCTGGTAAAAGTTATAGAAACCGTTCTCTTGACAGGATATTGTCTCCAGAATAGCTTCGATTGAGCTCAATATTGAGCTTAGGAAAGGAGCCATACATCTACACGATCTGGATGCCGCAGTGCTAATCACTTCTGGAAGGGCAAATCGCTCCTCCCATGGCAGCGCATCGGGACAGCATGCCAAGCGAGAGACACATATCTAGAATCTTGGACCAGGCAACTCATCTCAGAAGTCTAAAAGAAAAAGTAAGATGTCCAATCACGACTTGCTTACTGATACGGGAACTCTGGCTCGAGATCAGGTCCCAAGGACAAAGAACAACAAAGACAAAAGAATGAGTTACCGTCCCAAGAAAATCAAGTGCGTCGCATCCCGCCCTCTGTCAGTGTCAACCTATGGAATCAGTGGAACTTGACGAGATTTGGTAATGATCTACAAACGTTATAGAAAAGGAAAGCTCAAATGAAACAAACTGTTCTAAGGTCTGTCCTCCTAGCCATGGGAAATGAAGCAGTGGAGGCTTGCTCTCTAAAATCTCTGGAAATGTAACCAAATGACTCCATGCAGTGGGAGCTCTTGGCGTTCCCGACTACAACCCTTCCAAGACGACACTGGCCGGCTACGACATCCCCAAACACCGGAGCGTTCTCATCAACTTCTGGGCGATACTGGGACGGACCGGAAGCATTTCGCCCGGAGCGTTTCCTGGGCTATCAAGCGAAATCCCTGCAAGCGCTCATGATGCCATTCTCTGCCGGGCGGAGAACTTGTTCGGGCGTGCAGATAGCTTCCCGCATGGTTCCTTTTGGGGTTGCAAGCTTGCTCCGTGCGTTTGATTGGAAGAGTGCGCGCGAGATCGATTTGTCTGAGAGGTCGGGAACTATCTCTTCTATGCCCGTGTCGGACTTGGTGGCATTCGCAACAGCTAGGCTGGAAACGTCTGTCTTTATGGCTGACCATGTAATATAACGTTGTCCCTCAAAATAACTAGGCATACTCGACAATGTTAGTAGCAGGATTTGCCGCCTTTGCCGATGGAAATGTTTAGAGAGATGCCATCACCGGATACTGTCTCTTACCAACCGTGATTGCCGCCTTTGCCATAGTGGGGGAAAGGCATGCGATCAAAGGACCCGAGATCATTGCGTTCCACCTCTCAGCCTCCAGCGTCGGCTCTATGCTTGCGGATCCAAGACGTGAGTAAACACAGCTACACAAAAAACAAGAAGAACAGCGAGCAACCGTACCTCGAGGCTATCAGGCAACGGTTTCGTCAGCCATTCCACAGTGCAATGACATCGGCAGAAGTGGAAGAAGAAGAAGACGGTGGTGGTGGTGTGGCCGTGAGTGCCGGCGCCGCGGGCAGTGGAAGAACTAAGACTCCCCTCGTCCTGCGCTTCTTCTTGGCGTTTAAATCTACTTCCAAAGAAAGAAGAAAGATCACTTTAGCCCAACGGTTTTCGATCACTCTAACACTTCTGACGAGGAATCCAGTGACTTGGAATGCGCTGATAGCCGGCTACAGCCGGCATGGCGACACCGAGAAGGTGTTCCAGCGGATGCTAGACGAGAGATACCAACAACTAGCGAAATGAATAGAACTTTCTCGTGCTGACTGTGGCCGGGGTTGCAACACATTCTTGTTCCCCTGCACGCGGAAGCTCGTCACGGTCATGTACTCCCGGTACCGCTCTCGATGTGGATCACGTACCTCGGCGCGCTCGTGGGGCTGATCGCGTCCAAATTGTCCCCACGGCGTGCGCGCAGTTGACCAGGCCACGGTCAGCTTGTCGATGGTTTTTTTTTTGTACATTGCAAGAAGGAAAAATCCCGACAAAGAAAGAGTGCAAATTCTAGTCATTGTTTATCAGCGCATTCGCCCTCCACATTCTGGATTCCTAGCGCATTCGATCGACGCACTCCTCCACAGGAACCAGAGTCCTCGGCGGGGCAACGCAAAAGCCGCGAATCTTCCTCCTCCTGCTGCTGCTATGGCCGCAGCCCAAACAAATCCCTCTCATGGCGAGACGGATCGCACAGATGCAATCATCCAGAGCCATTGAATTTTGGACGTGCTTGAGAGGATGACGAGGAGGAATGTGGTGTCATTCACGGCCTTGATCCAGGTCTACGCGAGAAGAGGAGAAAGAAAAGAGGCTGTTTGACGTGGTGGCCTGGACGATCATGAGAGATTGTGGAAAATTTGGGACATCGTGTGCCCGTGAGGAACGCCATCTCTACATATGATCCAAAATTTTGTACCAAATGAAACGATGGCTCTTGGGATGCTACTGTTTCGGAGAGTCTCAATCCTTGGTAACTTTGACTTAGGGTATTGTTTTCCGTTGACCACGTCCGCCTATTTGACTCTTTGATCAATGGTTTTTCTAGCTATCTTATAGTTATTAACTAATGTGAAATAGATTTAGTAAGGGTTAGGGAATTAAAGGCATTTTGCAAAGCGCAAGCTATGGCGCGAACAGAGCAGGAGCGCAGTGGATGCGTCACAGGTTTGTGGTCTCTCTTCCGACCAAAAAAGGCGCACAAGGGCGACAACAAGGTCCACCCGGAAGCCATCTGGAAGCTGAAGGTCCATTATCGTGTCTGTGAGGCTGTCTCTCGGCAAGTTTGACGTTGCGATTTCATAGCTCGCATCATCCAGGCGCAAGGAAGTTGCCATGCTGATCAAACAAAGTTCTCTCTTCGTTTTTTTCTTTTTTTTCATTAAAAACGCCATGGCGCTTTAGACTGTCGTTCACGATTTAAAGCTTTCGTCCGTGTCAAGTCTTTTTCCATACAATGGTAGCCTTATGAACCATAATTTTGGCTTGACAGTCCTCAGTAGGCGTTAACTCGGTTCTTACAAGAGTGAGTGAGTCTTCTTTCTTTCTGCAGTCAAATGGCTCTATAAACATATGGAACAACTAAAGGTGCGTACATATTAGTTCCTGACTTCTTGCTCTAACATGATCTTCTCTTTGCAGTGCGATGCCTGCCGAGTGCCTGACTGCACCACCGCCATCACCAAATCCATTGAGTACGGCCCAGCCATGGAAGCAGTGGGAGAGGCAGCAGAAGACCAGAAATTTAAGGCATATCAACATGCAAGTCTTCAAAGGCTGTCGCTTTTCTGTATCTCGCAAAGAAAATGAAATGAAATGAAACTAAAAAATCAAAGATCAGTATTCAAGTTCTTCTGCTGCTGCTCTGCTTGATCTAAAACTTAAACTGCTATTTGCTTTCTTTGTTTTGTCTTTAAGATGCTTGATCTTCTACTTTGATCTGCCCAAGAATACCTTAAGAATATTCTGGCACACCAAGAATATTCTGTTAAGATTTTAGCGGCAATATTTTTATTAAATAGGTATTTTAAACCAAATTAATATTTTTAATAATATTTATATCTGTGTAAACTACCAGTATCTAATTTTAGTGGCAATAGTTGCTATTTAATAGAGGTTTTGCCTTATCAACTACAGAAGAAATTATTATTTTAATATTTAATAATTTTTATTTATACTAATTATTTAAGTTAGCATCATCTAATTTAATATATATATATATATATAATTTTTATTATTACTACAAACTTAAAATGCCCTATGTTATTTTAAATATAATTTATAAATAAAAATTTATACATATTATATTAAACCCGAATATAATACCAACATCTAATTCATTATCAATGTCAAAAACACCTAATGTTCAGACATTGCAGAGTGATAAATCTTAAGTTAACATTTTGATCCATCCGAAAAAGCATATAATATATAAAATACATATGCTTATATTAGATGAAAGATTTACCAAAAATTTGATGTTGAAAAGTATGTGTAATTGCAACTTGAAAATTGGTTAATTGTGATGTTGTAAACCTTCTCATTTACAATATTAGCTCTATAATTGAGAACTATATACTCATAATAATAATATTTTTACTTGATGTTGACACTCTTCTCCCATCTTTAATTGTAGTGCTTTGTTGCTTTTGCTTCCTTTGACCAAGTATTTGCATTTGTTATTTTTTTATTTTTGGAAATTCTTGAAAAAAGTGCTAAAGTTGAACTTTTTTGATTAATGATCTCTTCAAATTTAAAACCTACTTCAACTAAAGCCTGAAGCTCTAAATTTGTCAAGTTCACCACTTCTTTAACTAGCTAATACATTGTATATATTCTGGTTTTTGGATAATTTGTGCTACAGCAAATCATGTGTGTCAAACTTCTATTAAACAGAACCACATAAACTAATCACAGTGTTATAGAGGTTGTCATCCCCAAAACCAAGGGGTTGTAGTGTGTAAAGTTCCTATAATAATGTATTCACCACATAAGTTTCCTCCAATTCAAGCAAGACACTTAGACTACAAATCCTCCTCCAAGTTGACATGTAACCCACCCAATCTTATAAATCTTTTGTTCTTTGACTTTTATTCAAACATGTTAGTGCTTCAAATACATACTATTATGTAAACACTTCTTAAATCCCAAGTGGTGTGACTTTAAGCCTAGAGTGCTACAACTTCATCCCATGCTTTGGCCCTTCATCCATATAATCTCTAGCATATTAAATATTAGTAATTCTTTCATCTCATCCACAATTTGGATATCAAGTGTAAAATCACTCACTTGTCCGCAAAGAATGTTGCCACCCAAGGAGAAAATAACCTAATGAACAACTTTCCAAAAGAAATGGAGCAACTCAAAACTCAACTTCTTGAGGGCTTTGAGGGCTTTTTCAAATTTTATAAAACTAAGCTAGCTATCATCTTTCCTTGAGTTAACCACTCTACATTGTCCTAATAAGCAAGTAATGGCCTTTAAGATGAGTTCCATCCACCAACAATGGCTGGCAATTGTTTAAAAACAACTAAATGTTCCATAAGATTTTGTTTGGAAGGAAACAAATCCTCAAAAGTCTTAGCTTGAATTCATTCCTACAGCTTAATCCCAATTACAATATAAAATTTTGTTTATGCTCACTCTATGATGCAATGGTTTTGTTCATATAACTAGAGATCAATAAGCTGCTTTAGATTAAATGGAAACATAATTGTTTTGTTCCCACTTAATATAGCAGAGGCTATGAGACGGTTTGCAGACTCTGTTGGATGATAAGCATCCCAATAGAAGTATTGGTTTCTCGTAGAACAAACTGATCCTAATGGTAAACAAGCGAATAATCTCAAGGGTGATACTCCACAACAAGCATCACGGCCATTCACAAATCCTGTCATACAAATTACAATGAGCAAATGATGAATTTGTGTTAAGCTTACCATATTTTGAAGGGTTGTTTGTTGCATCATAAAATAGATCATATGTAGTTCCAAACACCATCTTCACTCCATTCAAGTCTCGATTCATCCCTGAAACCATATCCTTGAGTGCTCTGTCAAAATTCACGGCCAAAGAGTTGGCTTCTTCATGGCAAGCCTTGCCATTTGCTCCCAAAATATTGCCCTCTCTCTTAAATGGAATGCAACCAAGTGGTCCAAGAGCAAAAACCACTATTTTGCGAGCTCCTAGTTGATAGGCTCTCTGTTGAGTATCAAAATTAAATAAAAATCAAATGAAATGAGTTATTGAGCAAGAAAAGCAATCACTTACATTCAAGTAGCCTTTGTATGCAGAGATTACTTCATCTTGAAATTCTTGCGGAGATTTGCTCCTGGTGCTGTTCATGTAATTCAAGTAATCGTTGGATCCAAGGGCAAACAAAAATATTGACCGTGACAAAAGATCAAATGCGGGGTCCTCGCCTCCCACAAGCAAAACGATCTCAGACCTAGTGTTGACGAAATTCTGGATCTGCTTCCCAAGCGGCTGGATCTGGTCAAAGGTCCAAGGATGGATGGTCAACACGCTTCAAAAGCCCAAACTAAATACTTTACATTCTGGAGGAAGTTCACAGAGGAATCATTGAGGATTCGAGCGCCGCCTGATGCGTAGCTTACTCCTTTGAGGATCACACTGCCTTTTGTCTTGGGATCGTGATAAGCAGGGACTAGAGGAAGCCCAAGTTCTTGAGCTGGTAGAAACAAAACAAACTCAGAAAATGTGTAGATCAATTTGCCTTGCTTACCAATGAGATCCACGACTGTGAATCCATTGCAAAACCTTCCTGTCGCCTTCCCTCCTGGGAAATCGATTCCATTTGGCCGAAATGCTGCTTGAGCAGTGGTGACGAGGAACTTGTTGTTTCCGGGATCTGTCAAAGAGTCACCAAAGACGAAGAATGCAGGAGCTTGGGCACGCCCAGATCTAAGAACCAAAAAAAAACTCAAAATCGAAGCTGCTAGAGGAAGAAGACGCATCATCACTCTTCTCTTAGTCAAGGTAAAGTGGCGATCTATTCGTTTCTTATTCTCACACGCAGTCAGTCAAAGTCCACTTTATGGTCAATTTGGTAGAGCTCGGCAATCCTCCTCACAGTAACACAAGGGAAGAAAATAAAAGCAAGGATGGACCTTATCCAATAGCTGCCAATCTTGGCTCCTTCCAACACTTCATGGAGGACACCATCAACTAGAGAGCTTTACCAGATGACAAAGTACGTCAAGCGTAGTCTGTCTTATAGTCTCCGCAGCCTCTCTATGAATCCGAAACCCCCGACTTCAGCTAGATCACCTTCTCGCCATCTTGCTGCCATCTGACACTGGTTTACTTCGCTCCTCGCTGAAGCTGTGCCTTATACCGCAGCAGCGCTAATCCACTGGAGCAAACAAAAGAAGAAAAAAAGGCTAGAAACATGGGTTCTGATTTTTTTGGTTTGCTTCAATCGCTTTTTGTGTTTGCACAGACAAAAGGTCATCAATTGAGCGTTTGGATTAGATACCTTCCAGACCAGTCCAACTTATAGTCTACCAGCCTCCAGTCATCTTCGAGTTTCCTTGCCGCAATCTCGTCTTGATCCCTTCCTAAGCTGCATCCTGGCTGTGATGGTCGCTAGGCTCATCATCTCTTCTTGAGTTTCACTCAGAGCTACTCAACCGGCCAGGGATGTTGCTTGCAGTGGCATACATTACAACTTGTGTACTCTGATTGAAGACGAAGCTCTCCAGCAAAGAGCAGTGATTCTTGAGCAGTTCCTTAATACAAAATTATTTAAGTTTGGCATAATAAACTAGAAGCATTTTTTCTATAAGTTTTTTAATTTTGTTTTTGTTTTTATGGTATTTCTTGGAGGAGGACTCGTTTGATTCCCCAACAGATATGAAATATTGAAGGTGGTGAATGCAATCAATAATATTTTGTGTTTTTTGAACAGTATTTTGTAAGTTGTTTCCTACAATATTTGGTTAAACGTGTTTCCAGGCTTGCTTTGCTCCAAATCCAGCTACTAGCCCCAAATGAGAAAGTGGTAGAGCTCATCGCCGAGACAGCACTGATCGAGCACCAAGGATTTCCCGTGGGCACTCTGAATGAAAATGGAGCATCAATTCTCTGGGAGAAAGGAAGTCGAAACAATGGACGACCCGAAAGGTTCTCAGGAAAAGCTCTTCACTGAAAAGCTTTTGACTCCTGCTTGCACAATACCAAACCTGTCAACAAGGAAACAAGGAAGGATTAACCATCCGCTTCGCTAGCTTTTTTAGTCAAGAACTCCGCGGATTTGAGCTGGACCTCTCCTTCTCGGGTAGTGCACGACTTCTCATCGATCATGCGAAGCTCATGCTCCAGGTCCAGTTCTCAACGCGGATCCAGGCCAAAGAAATCATCGCTGGAGCCGCTCTACAACTTTCTCCTTGGTGGATAAAACGCAAGAGCTCTTCCCAGCCAGCCAAGCGGAGGAGGAGTGAGATCCATGGGGGAGGAGCCCTCGGAGGATGCAAGGATCAAAGCCCTGGGAGCTGAGGACGTCAACTTTGCTCTTTCGCTGTGATCAAGCGCTGGGAAGCTCTTCGAGGTATCTCTCGCTCGCAGAGCAACAACAAAAGGTTTAGTGAAATCAGCAAGATTACGACTAATACATTAATACATTAATGTACATTAATTGAGTAAGGGTTAGGGCATTAGAGGCATTTTGCAAAGCGCAAGCTATGGCGCGAACAGAGCAGGAGCGCTGTGGATGCGTCACAGGTCTGTGGTCTCTCTTCCGACCAAAAAAGGCGCACAAGGGCGACAACAAGGTCCACCCGGAAGCCATGGACGCGGCGGCCTCGAAGCTGAAACAACTCAAGCGCGAGGTGAGTGTGATCGTGGAATCACTCCGAGGGCAGAAGGCGATCGTGCCGATCAAGCCGGACCAAAACGAAGCCGAGGAGCTGAAGGAGAATCAAGAGAAGAAAGCCGAGCAGCTGAACGAGGAGGAGAAGGAACTCAGGCGCGCGATCAAGCGGCGGGAGGAGGAGCAGCGAGTACTGCGAGCCCAGGAGCTGCAAGCCCAGGAGGAGCTGCGAGCCCTTCGAGCCGAGCAGGCGGAGCAACAGCAGCAGCGGGTGGAGAAGAAGCGGGCAGAGAAGCAGTGGTGGGAGCAGCAGCGGGCGATGCGAGCGGAGCGACGGCGAGCCCAGCAGCGAGCCGATCACGAGAAGCTGCTTTGTTTCTCGACTGCGGTGGAAAATTTTGGTGCGGATGGTGCCCGATGGTGGTCCGAGTGCCATCTCACCGATGGCCGTGGAGGCTTCACCGAGTTCCTGCGCCTGGAAGCTCTTCACGAGGCCTCACGAGAGCTCTCCAAGACGAACACCAGCAAGAGGAGTGGCTTCGAACAGAAGGAGCAGCGGATGAAACCAGAACAAGAGGAGGAGCGGCGGATCAAGCAGGAAATCAAGCAGCCAAACGAGAAGGATCACGAGAAGATCAAGCCAGAAAACAAGCAAAAGGAGCAGCCAACCAAGCCAGCTTTGCTGCCAGCCGGTCCGCGTCGTCCAGGTATGGTTTGTCTCTTTTCTCATCCTTTCTTCCGTGACTTAACCACTGTCTCTCGGACTTCCAGGTTCCAGGCCCAAGACTGTTCGCTTCTCTCCATCAGCGCAGATCATTCTCCCCGACGGCACGCAGCAGCCGACTGAGTGCCATCTCCAGGATGGGCGAGGGGGCTTTCTGGAGTTCCGGCGCCTGGAAGCTCTTCACGAGGGGTCGAGAGAGCTAAAGAGGAAGGAGAGCAGCCAGAAGATCGACGACGAGGTCAGGGACGAGGACGTGGTTGAGGTCGAGGAGGGGGCCACCTGGAGCTGCCGCGCATTGGAGCTTCTGATCAGGCTCGCCGAGTTGACGTACGAAGAACTGAACGGAAAATCTAGCGACAGCGTAAGGATCCAGAGAGCGCGGAGGATGGCGAGGCTTCAGAGGGAGTTGGATAAAATCCCTGAAGAATCGAAGCCGTGGAGGAAGAGCAAATCCGGCAAAATGGTGTTTGTGAAAGTGGCCAAGGAGATCTGTGATCGCGCGGGAGACGACTTCGTCCGAGAATTCTGGAGAAGACAGGCAAGCTTTTCTTTTCGTTAGTTTTTGGATTCGGGCGGTTTGCCAATAACTCCCGTGTTTGTTGTAGAGAGCTACTTCGCTCGCGGAAGCAAATGCCGAGGGAAGGGATGGTTGTGGTCATGGTTTCTCTCAACACGGTCGGAGGATTATCAGCAAGGAACGACGAGAATACAAGACTGGAAACGAGACTGGAAACAGGAGTGGACGGTGTTTTGTCACTGCTGGAGAATCACTGCTCTTTGCTGGAGAGCTTCCTCTTCAATCAGAGTACGCAAGCTGCGATGTATGCCACTGCAAGCAACATCCCCGACCAGTTGAGCAGCTCCGAGTGAAACTCAAGAAGAGATGATGGCGAGAACCAGGATGCAAGGGATCAAGACGAGATTGCTGCAAGGAAACTCAAGAATCGTGGAGATGGCCGGCCAGGATGCAGCTTGCGAACTCTGGTCAAAGCTCTCCAGTCAAGCAGCTAAGGAGGCTGACTATAAAGTTGGACTTGTCTGGGGTCTATCTGATCAGCTTCCCAGTCGACGGAGATGATTCAGGAGGTGCTGCTGCGGTATAATGCTCCAAGGCTGTCCACAGCTTCAGCGAGGAACGATGCAAGATGGCGAGAATATGATCTAGCTGAAGCTGCTCGTGACGGTGGGGGATATCGGATTCAGAGAGAGGCTGTGGAGACTATAAGACAGACTACGCTCGAAGTTCTCTGTCATTTGCTAGAGCGGAGACTTTGAAACTCCAACCCTGTCCAGGAATGCTCGTACAGCTGCTCGGATGATAGTATCAGCAAGGAACGCAGTGGCAGGTTGCTGCAAGGGAACTCAAGAAGATGATGATGGCAAGAAGATTATCTTGATGACGCTGCTTGTGAAGGTGGAGCGATTGGAAGGATTCACAGGACTGCTGCTGTTCGCCTCTGACGTGCAGTCTGGTATCTGCTAGAGCGAACTTTAAGACGAAAGGACTAGTTTTAGAGGAGTCATCGAACGCAGAAGCTGTTGCAGAGTTTAGGAGGCCATCTGGCTTCGCATGCCTCTCCTCAAGCCCTGTCCATGCGTCCTTCCACTCGAGCTTCTCAGCACGAAGCTCCGATGCCTAGGCCTGAAGTGGCGAAGAACAAGCCGATTCCCTGAGAAGAGAACACGAACAAACTGTCCGAGAGGTTCTAAGCACGACGAAGGAACGAGAAATGAGCTCGAGAAATCGGCTGCAAGGATTGGTCACCTCGAGGCCGTCAAATGCAGGAAAACTTGGAGTACATCGAAATCTCCGAGCAGATCGAGTGGCACAGGGAAGCAGTAGCAGGCCTCCAAAGCGCCAAGTTTGAGCTACCAGTCTCGAGATCCACACTCTTAAGTCAAGCGAAGATCAATCTTCTCGAGGAGAAATTCTCACTTGACTCCAAAGTTTGGGAGGTGTCCGAGACGATGGAGCAGCACAAGCAGTCGAAAGCGGCGCTCCAGGCGGAGCAGTCGGCCAGCCGAGCTCTGGAAGTCAAGCACAGTCCATCAAACTTTGGCATGAAGCAAAAGATGGGATGCTGAGTAGTTGACGGAAACGTGACGAGAGCTCAACGCTGTCCAGGATCGCTCTTACAGGTGCTTGGGTGATAGTATATCATCAAGGAATGATCTCGATCTCGATCTCGATGAAGCTGCTTGGAGCCAGTGGTGCGGATTCACCGGATGTTCGCCTCTGACGTGGGGAGATTACAGACTATTTTTTATCTGCTGGAGCGAACTCTAACACGAAGCAACAGTAGGCAATGGCCACCCTTTACAATCGAGCAATCTGGACCGAGGGTACGTAGAGTCGTCCTCTTCCATTTTTTTCATCCGTGGTGTTAAACAGCAGAAGAAAGCCTCTCAAGGCCTACAGCAACACACACTTTGTGGTATTTTCTTGTTGT